CTCCCACTGCCCCTCAAATTCCCAGGATTTTAGCACGCACAGGACCAAACTCTATTTGATGTACCAAATCTTGGCTAAACTTGAGACCCCCAGGAAATCAGGGTGAGGAACAGCACAGGGGTGACACCAAGGTCACATTAAACGAGCCATTGCCAGCTTATTTGGGTTTATTTTGGGTATAACTTCGTCCTTTTAATGTTATTCTTGTCCATTATTTAAGGCTCATTCTTTCTATTTTAATCCCAGTGGGGAAATAACCAGGCATGTTTTCAGCCCCAAATGCTCCCGGGCTTCTTTTGGTGGCTCCGGGAGCTCGGTGAGGAAAACCAGTCTTTTTTTGGGGGAAGGGGAGAAAGAATATTCCCTGAGCAGCTTTCTATAAACCAGACTGTAAAAGCTTTATTGGTCTCCACGCAGAATCGCTGCGTGACATCACGGAGGGTATAATTCCAATAAATAAATAAGTATTTACAAAACGTGCCGGGGGTATAAAACAGGGGGGCTGAACCTTGGGGAAGGAATTAAAGACATCTGCGTGTCTCAAACACTGTTTAGGCACTTTTCGTAGGATAAACCACCGCGGAGGGAATTTGAGCCAAGCACGGAAGGGGAGGAGCAGAGTTTTTGGGGGTGTGGTGGCAGAACCTCTGACCTGTGTAAGACACCGGAGGGCGACCACGACAAACCGACTTTGTTTGAGCAACAAGCTGAGAGGTTTGAGCCAGACGGGGGAAAAGGCCAGGAAGGAGCAGCTCCTGAAAGGTGGGATGATGCTTCTTATCATGCCAGTGTCCTCCCCCCAAGGAGCCATCCCATAAACCAGGAGGTGCTCATCCCTTCTGACGGGGCATAACTGGCTTGGGGCCAAACCTGGTCACGTCTTAGAAGGGGCCATAAACCATCAAAGACGCCCGAGGTGCCCCCAGACTCATTTCTGGGGCTCCCTCCAGAGGGCTGTGTGTGATCCACACTTGGATAAGGCAGGGGAGGTACCCGGGTGTTCCCACCTGAGCCTGAAGGTGTATTAACTCTGGAGCCACGGGTGGGATCTTTCCTCTCCACTGTCTGCTCTTATCCTTCTTTTTCTTTCTTTCTTTCTTCTCCTTACATATTTTCTTAAGTGACTCCTTTATATGTTGATATTGCTCCATTTCTATAGATAATGCAGACAGCTCCATCCCTCCTTTCCATTGCAAGCAAATTGTTCCAAAATAAACCTGCCACAGACTTGTATTTGCAATAAATCATTCCCTCTAATTGCCTATTGACAGGACCCTCAGTTACCCGGCCCCAGGGGCAACAACCTTTTAGGAAACCCACAGTTCACACAACTATTTTGATTTTCCTTGGAATTTGACATGTAAGTTCAGCATTCCAGGGGGGATGTTGCATGTTAGTGAGTTCACAGTATGTGAGGGGGGGGGGGGGGGGAACAGACCCCCCCAGTTCTGACCCTGGGCCCACAAAACTTCCTGTGGGAAAGCAAACTGCTGCTCTGGGATGATATTTCACTGGCATAAAGCTGTCAGCACCCACTCCCACATTCCCACCAGCAGCCGCCGGCTTCACCCCACCACAGCTGCCGGAGCAGGACCCCCATGGAATGAAGGAGCTGGAAAAACACATCCTTTTCCAGATTTCCCCCCCTCCAGGCCGTGGCTGGAAAATAGGCAGCGGGCGGGATCCTGCCCCCGTGGGAATGTTTCACTGTGAGTTCCAGCATGGATTAGACTCAGCCCCGGTCAAGGGAAAACAGGAAAAATCCCTGCGGGCAGGAGGGGTCGTAAGTGGGTTTGTAAAAACACCTTGAATCCGTTTAAATGCAACCAGGGTGGGAAATCGGGGAAGGAATTGGGTGGGGAACAGGAGGCTCCGCAGCGCCGCAAACCTTCCCTGCCACGGAAAAAAACCCACCCCGGCAGTGTCGTGTCCCTGTTTAACCTCCACACCCCCCCAGAGAGCCCCAAAATAACTTGAGGGAACAAGAATCAGGCATTTTAGCCCCCCCCCCGGGTGACACTCAGCTGGGTCGCCGCTGCCACCAGTGATTTAAGGTGGAAAGTGCTTGGGGATGAGGCACGACATGGGGGGGACACGGTGCAGACACGGGGGGGCAGAGGGGCCACATAAAGTGCTGCCCACAACATCTTTGCTCCTGCTTCCATCGGCCATCAGTTTAAAACAAATTAACCCGACTCCAGACAAAGGCAGGAGCCTCCCAGTCCCGGAAAACCATCCTCTGCAGCCCGGCCCGAGGGAGAGGGGTTGGGGGCCGGGCGACCTTCCACAGTCCCCACCGAGTCAGTCAGAGGGTCCACGCGGATTTAGAGTCAGTTCCAGACGGAGATGCCCCTCCTGCGTTTTTCCTTGGGGCTTTTCCCCACCACTGGCTCGGGAAAAGGAAAGCTGAATGCCGGCTGCCGCCTGCGAAGGGAGCGGGAACGGAGCAGGAATGAACGGAGCAGGAACGAACAGAGCAAGAACGGAGAAGCCTCCGCGCGTTCTGCCTTCCTGGCTCTCTGGCGCCAGCGTTCCAAGAGCCGGCTGGAAAGCAGCGAGTATTTTTAGAAGTGGGTTGATCACAGCTTTTCCCAAATTGTCATTAAAAAATTGCAGCAGGGGTGAGGTGGTGGTGGTGGTGGTGGGGGGGTTGTAAATATTACCCAGTTCAGTCCACCTCCCTCTGTCCGTCCTGCCCGCAGTCCCTACAGTTTCTGTGCGGGGCCGGCACAGCCCGAGGCGACCGGCTGGAGCCCGAGCTCCTTCTCGTGGGGTCCCCCGCACTTGTAATCCATGGTGGCGGGGTGCCGGCAGCGCTTCTTTGCCAGGTGGTAGCCCAGAGCCAGCAGGGCCAGGGCGGTCAAAGCGGCGCCCACCGCGATGCCCACCAGGGCACCGGGGTG